AAATGAAGGTAGAATGAAATGCATTTGTTTCCATTCTCTTGTTTGGTATGTCACATTAAAAGTGGAATGGCCATTCCATCAAAAAGGTGGAATGCCCATTCCTCTTCTTGAGAGGTAGAATGACTCTTCCATTCCCACCAAGAATTAATAAAGTAATAAAGTAATTTAAAGAGATAACTCACGCATACACACACTATATAATATATAATATATATAATATGTATCTATATGTGTGATACCCCTCGGATCCAAGACGCGGGTTGATCAGGCCCAGGCCCAAACCCGAGGGAATATCAAACAATTAATATTTTAACGAACACGGAATACAAATTGAATTAAAGAAATAAAAATAACAAGCTGAAAGAAACTAGAATAAAAATCCTCAAAACATAATTATTTAAATCCGTTAATCCAAAACTCCATAAGTTTACAACTGGGGAATCCATCCAGTGGACCCCTTATTAAAACCCAATAGAAACTAAAATATCTGAAATAGAATCTAAAGCTAAACATAGAAAAGGTTCCTACGTAGTCGGAGGAATGAATATCTGTATCTGCTCTGTACGTCCAAGCTCTAACCCTGGAACTAACGGACACCTGAAAAATAAAGAGTGGGTCGGGCCCACATGCAAGTCCTATTCTACTACGATCTAAGCAATAATCCGATATGCAGATATATCCTAGATAGCTCAACAATATCTATCTAGTCCATACATATATATATCCACACTAAGGGACATTCACTGGACTACAGTAGGGGTCTCAACCTGAATGAAGGCAACATGCGAAAACGCACCCAAAGGTGGGCATGAGTACCTAGACCTAACAGGGTACACCTTAACCTACTTAACCAGCTACACATCCACTGCATATATGCACCCTAACCAATGAGTCTGAGACTCAAGCTCATCTCGTGGTACCATAAACATATATATAAAGTCCGTCAAAAACCAAGGTATGTCATTTAAATACTTATTGAGATGACATACAATATACAACTAGTTAGTCACTCAACTTATTCAGTTGATATGACTTAACTACCATCCATTAATCCAGGAATCCATTCAACTTAGTCGCAGTTGATCTGACTTAATCACAATTTGGATTCAATATTTTTCAATCCATCATTTAATCCATTAGGGTAGGTTTAAGCGTTTTGAGCTAAACCGTCTCTAGTATGTCACCGTCCCATACCAGTGCATACAATCCTCCATATCCATGTAAATTACAAAACATAATAATAAGTTAGTAATTTACAATCCAAACCATTATCCATATCATTGCAGGAAGGTATCTAAAATTTCAGCAATATAAATCCTAGCATTAATTCATGTAATTGCACTAGAGAATTTGATATTCCAATAATTAACATCCATAGCATGCATAGTTCAAACCTTAAACATAAAATGATCTATCATGCATCTAATATAAGATTTATAATCTTATTATAATCCATTATGTTGCCCAAAACTAAGCTAAGCAATTTGGTTCTTTCCATCCATTATTAGTATACTAAGTTGTATACTTTTATACTGATTCATCCTTTAAATAATTTATAAAAATTTATTTCCATATCCATATTGTCAAATTTTCGACGCATAAGAAGTGTATTATGCATTTTAGAACCATCCAAAGTCCATTTAATCCATTTAGATTACTTACAATAAGTTCTAAAACAATTCTGGGCAATTAAAACTAAGTTCCAGGTCGCGGCCCAACTTAGTCGGCTAAGTTGCTAACTGAGTCGGCTCAGTTCCCAACTTAGTCGGCTCAGTCTCCAACTGAGTCGGCTAAGTTGGTGCTGATGCCGTCTTCTTCGTCCGTTCAGCCTCTGTAAACCCTAAAACTCCATTGCTAAGGCCTCTAAGCTTCAACCCACGTCCCATACGTCCATACTAAATTATTTTAAGTGTTTTAACATGCAAATATTCAATTTAAACAACAGTTCATGCATAAAGATCACAAAACTAAAGAAAACATGAACAGGTATGTATAACTTTGCAACCCTCTGTATAACTTTGCAACCCTCTGTTTTATTTTGATTAAGCATGCATAGTTAATTTGTTTTAGCATTAATTAAACTCCTGGAGTCTAGCTAAGCATGCACAGAACACGAATTAAAGGGAAAGACCGAGAACAGAAACTTACCTTCGAGACTTTGGTTTTAAATCTCTAACTGTCGTCTCTGAATTTCCAACTTTGTTCCACACCTCTGTTACTCTTGGCTAACCCAGAAGCAACCCCGTTCCTTCCTCCTTGAACTTCTCTGTAAGCTCTCAAGTTTTCATTATCTGTTTTCTCAAAATCTCACAACTCTCTGTATCTCTCTGCTACGTGAAAAGGATTAACAAAACCCTTGGCAAACATATACTTATGTATTTATAGGTTTTATTTAAAACCCTAAATTAAATCCTAAACCAACTACAAGTCAGTTCAACGTAAAACTTAAAAGACTAAATCCTAATACTAATATACATGGAAACCAAAACACGGACCACAGTTAAATTAAAAACTATATATTTAAATAGCCACATAAGCACATAATTAAACCAGTACTAACTAAACAAATGTCAGTTAAATAAAATAAAATAAAAACAAATAAATCATATAACTCCATTAAATTAACAAATAAACCATTAAACAAATATAAATGCAATTTAAACAATTTATAAAATATCAGGACTATCCTTTTGAAATTAGGGGTATTACAATATGTCATTTGTTCCCTCTCTCTGAATTACACATACAAGGATGAGACAAAAATAATGTAATTGAACTTTTATAAGCTTTGGTGCTCTGTTATGCAACTTTCTTAGTCATTATCTAGCCATCTGTTTCTTTTTTCTCGCCAAAAAAGATCAGAAAATTATCTCTTTCCCTTTTATTTTTACAGTCGTCGGAGAGCCCTCTGTTTCTTTTATGTCATCTATTTTCTCTCTCTATCTCGTCTATTTTCTCTCTCTCTATTATCTCTTTCCCTTTTATTTTTGCAGTCATCGGAAAGCCCTTTGTTTCTCTCTATCTCATCTATTTTCACTCTCTATTATCTATTTCCCTTTTATTTTTGCAGATTAATTTTTTTAGTTAATTTTTTTTTACTAATAATAAAATGTAATTTAAAGAAACAATATAAATTCATTCTATTCCAACTTTCTTATTAAACATAGGAATGAGAATGAGATTCCATTTTTACACATTCCATGTTTGCAACCAAACGCTAGAATAAGAATTATTATTCCCATTCCATTCTCATTCCATTCCCACCTCCATTCTTATTCCATTCCAATTCATTCCACCATACCAATCATGCCCTAATTGTTATTAGTCTATTACTCTATTGACTCAATTATAGAAATTTAGAAACGGGAAATCACAGAGGAGGAGGCGGTAGTGCATAGGCTCAGAGAAAGCAGATTGGATCCATAGTTATTTTAATACAATATATTATTTTATTAATTTTCCTTTTTTAGCTAAGCATCTTTCTTCATTAAAAAAAAAAATAGCAAGTAAAAAGTGTTTTTTTTTTTTTTTTTTTTTTTTTCAATATATAAAATTGCTTCTTATCGCTACCTTATTTTATTTTGTTCTACATTTTTTTTTCCTTTTTCCTTTTCTTTTATTACTTAGGTCTCAACTCTCAAGTGCCATAGGTCACATATTGCTTATATATATATATATATATATAGATAATACACTAATATGCAAACAATTAACTGAAGTTACTAATTCATTTTATTCAACTTCAAATCGGATCCCATTTGCAACACATCCACTCAAAGTTTGAGAAAAAGAATAATAGATTCACTTTGACAAATAGATCTATCTAATGAATATTATGACTCATAATTAAAATTTAATTTAATTAAAGCTTGGAGTTAATGATTTATGGAATGAAATTATTGCATACGTGCTATCAATCATTTAATTGCCATTGAAAAGTAGCCAATGCAATCCTAATTCAACCTTTTTTGAGGATTTTTATTTTTTATTTGTCTATATATTTTTTGCTCCCCTAATAATAAAATGCTTCGTAATAGAAATGTGAATGAGGTTTTTTATTTTTTATTTATCTATATAATTTTCTCAAGTGTAATTTTAATAGTGCACAATTTGGGAGAGGGTAAAAAAATTTGGGAAAAGTCGTTTTACTTATTCACAGGACAAAAAAATATTTCTTAAATGTCAAATTTTCTTTTTTGATAGGCTATGTTGAGGTTAGATATATTTGGTTATGTGTTTTGGCCTTATTTTTATTATATTTTACACATCTTATTGTTCAAGAAGTTAGTTTCAATTTTTTTTTCATAATTTGGTAGAATCTTACGATTCACAATCCGATTCTATGATTCCGATTCTACGGAAACCAAAACGATTTTGCGTAGAATCCCCATTTTAACAACCTTGATTCCTCCCCTGATTTGAACCTTACAACCAAATGCCTACATGAAGATTGGAAGTCAAATCTTTTGGAATAATTTATAGAATCTGTAAAAGCGTATCAACTGGACTTATTGGTTCTTTTGAAGTCAATTTTTTCTCTGTATTGATAATTCGTTGTTGCTTCTGATATCTCAAGTCTGGTTCCCTCTGGAGGATCTTGAGCTTCCTGAAAATTGTTAGAGACTCGGAATCAGTTAATTGGTATTATAATGTAGGTCAGCTGTTATTTCAGCACTTGTAATTACCTTGTCGCAGGTTTTACCATATCATGTCGGATGAGCAAGTCCTTCGGTGGGGAATTAGGTCTCTACCATTTTTATTGGTTAATTATATCTAATTTCATAAACAATTTAGTTGAAATTAGACTTACTAACTTAGTGAAACTATCTGCAACTAGACCTAAAATAGTCCTCACCTGTCAGCTGATATCCTGTTTAGCTTGGCTTGCTGAGTTTGGCCCAGGTTAGGTTCAAATCCAGACTCCAGTACCCAACCCTGCTCTGACCTGTCAGCATCTGGGACTGCTACATGCTGTGATATTATTTTTGTCGTACTTACCATATTGCTTGAAAACTGTTTTTATGTTGTTTGACGTTGATCTTATATATGGCAGTGAGATTTCACTTTACATTTAATGGTGAGCCTTAGTTACTGAATGAAAGCAAGACTGATGGAAAACATGATTCTTCCTAACTTATGCATTGGGCTTGTTTTGCTTGTTTGCTCCCTGTTTTTTCGTCTGGATCATGTTCTGCGGAGAAGGCCTGAAAGGCTTCGCTCAAAGTTTCGAAGGCAAGGGATTGATGGCCCCCAGCCTTCCTTATTCTGGGGTAATATTCCGGAGATTAAGCGGATGATGTCAATGGTCACTATTCCAAAGGCTTCAAGCAATACCTTAGAAGACCCCCTGCCACTTGATAATTCTTCCATTATCTTCCCTCATTTCAAACATTGGACAAAACAATATGGTATTTCTAACATATATATCTTGTAGTATTTTGCATGAGGGCACGTTTCATATTTACTGAAAAAGTGAGTGCATGTTTCTTGTGAATCACAAGTTTTAGTTGCTTGAAGTTCCCATTGACAACGAACATGTCTATGCTTTGTTGTTGTTTGCTTAACAATGAATATGTCTGCAGTTGAAAGTTTTCTTACCGATTGTGGGGTAGAAGTGAATTCTAGTATCCTTGCAAGAAGATATTATGATATGCAAGCAATAAAACGATGACACCATGATGCTGATTATTGACCTGGCTAGCTTTTGCAAGTTACTATATAATTTTGCATTTATTTTAAGCTGCAATTTCAAAGATTGATTTTTACCCCCTTTTTCCAGTTTTATTCTATGTGATGTTAGCTCATATTTTTGATTGTCAAGTGTGTGGTATGTGGATTCGACGAGCAACACAATACGGTGCTTGCTTATCAACTCAATTATTTCAATTTGCCTTGATTTGTGGTTGTGGTTGGCTGTGTGATTGGGCAATTGAGAAACTTGGTATGTTGTTAGAGTCATTATAGTGAACTTGTGACTTGATAGGATTTGACTACTGCTATGAAAGTCGCATCTTGCTTGTTTATTAATCAATTGTTTTGTCTCAAAAAAGAAAAGAAAAGAAAAAACCGGGAACCTTGATTGTTTGAATAACCGGGTCAAGCCATCTAATTTTTCAGACCACGGATATTAAAATCTCGATGTCCCTAAGTTTATCTTGTTTTGTTTCTGAATGTTATAGTTGATAGTATTACTTGTTACTTACTATATTATTACTTTGCATGTCGTCATGGTCTGATTGTCTGCTTGATTTGGTCTTTTACCTCGATCTGTTCCCTTTTTCAAAACTTAATTTGATGTTATTGATGAATTCATAATGCCAGGAAAAAATTTCTTCGTTGCAATGGGGCGGGTACCTCTGTTATATGTGACGGATCTTGATCTGGTAAGAGCGATTAAACTCTACATATCACTGGACTTGGGGAAGCCTGCTTATCTACAGAAGGATAGGGGGCCTTTATTAGGTAAGGGCGTTGTGACTTCAAATGGTGCAGTTTGGTCTCACCAAAGAAAAACCATAGCTCCTGAGCTATATATGGATAGGATTAAGGTATTTTTTTTCCCATACATGAATGAAGTTTAAACTAAATATTTATTATTGTACATCTACTCCTTTTAAATGCTTGTTGTGGGTTTTATAATATATATATATTGATTCCAGGACAAACTAAACATAGTGGTGGAGTCTGCAAGCGCGCTAGTGAAATCATGGGAGAGTATAGTTGAAAGTGAGGGCGGGACTGCAGACATAATAGTGGATGACTATGTCAGAAACTTCACATCTCGTGTATTTTCGAAGGTATTGTTTGGAAGCAATTATTCCGTAGGAAGTAAACTACTTCCCAAATGTGTTGCTCTTATTAAGGCTTCAGAAAAGCCAACCATACTCGATGGGCTTCCCTTCATGAGGTAGATCCTTCCTCTTTTTCTTTGCTTGAATTAAGTAATTGTGGGCCCATAATTTCCTCCGCAAATTCATATATGGGATTTATTTACTGATCGAGGCCGTCAGTGCATCACATTCTTTACTCCTGTGATTGATGCACCTTAAGTCTCACCTTTTGGGTATTAACAGCTCTTGATCCTGATATTCTTTTTCCTTTTGATTTATATATATGTTTTTTTTCTGTTGAATAACCCTCCATTCGGGAGGGAATTTAGGTTAGATTGGCTGCCTTTACCCTTCCAATATGAGGGTTGGGCTGCATGGCTAGGAAATTTGTTCCAACAGTTGCCTTCACAAGTATTGTCCTTGGAGTAATTGAGGGTACTATGGAAACTGTCATCTTAACTCATCACTCCCCTGCTTTTTCCCTCTTGAATCAGGTATCTTCCCACTAAGAAGAATAGACAGATGTTGAGACTAGAGAAACAGATATACTCAATAATTTTAGATGCAGCAAAGAAACATGATGGAGCTGCAGTTGATGGCATGTTAAAAACCATTATAGAGGGTGCCAAGAATGGTGATCTGGGGCCATTAACTCCGGACCAATTTATAGTCGACAATTGCAAGAATCTTTACCTTGCTGCTTTTGAAGTGACTGCCATGGCTGCTGTTTGGGGTCTAATGTTATTGGCTTCACATCCTGAATGGCAAGCTCGCGCTCGTGCGGAGGTTCTAGAAGTTTGTGGCGGCCATATGCCGGATGCTGATATGCTTGGCAAGATGAAAGTGGTACGTGAGCAACCAATTGGAAACTGCAGAATTTGCCATGAATTGTTATTTTTTTGCCTTAATGGTGGGACGATTCTATTCTGAATCTCGTTGATGTGATGCAGATGAAAATGGTGATACAAGAAGTGCTACGCCTTTATCCAGTAGTAGCATTTGTGGCAAGGGAGGCGCTGCAAGATGTGAAGCTTGGAAATATGATAGTTCCAAGAGGAGTTAACATGTGGGTATGGCTGCTAGCATTGCACCATGACCCTGAACTCTGGGGACCTGATGCAGACAAGTTCAAGCCTGATAGGTTTGCTAATGGAATTTCTGGAGCATGCAAGTGCCCACAAGCTTACATGCCATTTGGTGTCGGGGCACGTGTTTGCCCCGGCCAGAGCTTAGCTATTTTAGAGTTGAAGGTTTTCTTTGCGGCCATCTTGTCCAGATTTTCTCTCTCCCTTTCACCTAACTATCGCCACTCTCCTTATATCAGTTTGCTTTTAGAGCCTAAACATGGTGTCAATCTCCTCATCCGCAAGATATGAGAGCTTTCTGAAGCTTTAGCAGATGAAATATATATGTAAAATATTGTTATAATAAACTTTGGATGATCTATGATTATTTCTGTCGCGAAATGTATGAGTCTTGTCTTACAATTTGTCATTGTTCCACTTGGGCTCGAATGTGCTCTTTGAATGGCATAGGGAACAAAGGTCCAATGAATAGGAAATCTGCTGTTACGATATGTGTTTTATTGTAAATAGTTAACATAGTCGGGTGCTTCACCTGAATACTTTAATTCTTCAGATATATCGATTCCTAGAAAGTATGTCGTTATACATGAAAGAATGGAAAATATTTTAGGGATAATTTCACTAACACTCTCTAAAGTTTGGCCAAATATCAGTCTAAAACATTTTTCGAAAATAACTATCACTCACATTATAAATGTTTGCTTCATTTTTCACTCAAACCCCAAAAGTTAGTTGACTGGTGTGTCAGACCACTTTTTAAATGTAAAAAGATATTTTTACCCTTTGACTTTGGTTTGACCCATTTAGTTATTTACCCTCGTTCAGATGACATATTTATCCATTTATACCCTCACATATTATTTCAATGTACCCACGTGTCTACGTCCTATTGGTTGCTGACCTTATTTTTTTTATTTCACCTTATCATTTGGGGCCAAACAGTGACACGTCCCACCCAGGGAAGGCCAGAACTCCAACGACGACTAGAGAGAACGACGATGATCGGCAGCCAGAGTTGACGATGACAACTACGACTGATGAAGATTCCGACGACGATGAAGGAGAGACCGCCATGTCTAGAAAATTTTATTGGCTTGTCTTTGTCATGTTCAATTGATTATGGTCACATATAAAACCCAGAAAAATCAAGGCAAATTTAAATGACATAGAACAAATTGTGTATGATTTTACCAATCAATTTGAGGATGAGCATTAGACAATACCAACACTCCTGGGGATTTACTCAAGAAATACCCCACACACAATACAGCCCCATATTTGATCGGTCACAACCCGCCGTCCCATCGACCCAAGCAACCAAATTCGGCAACCCCAAACAACACAATCGGCAACCCCAAGCAACCCAACCTACATGTGATTGCAACTCACAATCGTTGGCATAAGATGGTGTCCACTACGCCAGAGAAGAAAACAGCACTCGGAATTGACGCAGAATAGTGACCCAACAAACCGTGGCCGTAGGAGAACACGACCCACCGTCCCACACCAACAATCCACACACGACAAGCACGCAAACCGCCGGTGAGAAGACTGTTACTCGCGACGCACGACAGTGACCCACAGTTGACGGCGCAGCAACCTCTGGTTCGGCGTCTTCCTTCCCCCCAAACCACCATCGTCTGGTGACCCTCCTGCACTCTCTGGTTCGGCCATCGCTACAGTGCCCAGCCGATCTCCCTTCGCCGTCATCGTCTTTGTGCCTAACCGGATGTCTCGGCCGCCGTCTTTTATGCGATTGTTACATATATATATATATATACACACGTGATTGTTTTGTTATATATATATATATATATATGTGGGGGTATAATGGTCATTTAAGTAGCTGGTGTATTTGGTATTAAATGTGATTAAAAAATTAAGGGCAAATATGTCTTTTCTCACGTTTTTAACGGAGACCGTAACGGAAAAGCGAAATTGGACCTAACTGATAGTTATTTTCGAAAGATATTTTAAACTAATATTTGGCCAAACTTTAGGGGGTGTCAGTGAAATTAACCCAATATTTTATTGTATTGTATTAAATAGTACAATAGCACCCTATATGTATAGAGAAGGTGAGTGGCCGGTGAACTAGTCTGTGTTGTAGGTCCCTTGAACAATTAATCTGTGTTGTCGGTATAGTCATTAATGATAATGTGTAGCGTATAAGAAACTTAAATGATATACAAAATAATAATTTAATATGTACAATATCTCGAACTAATTTGGTATGCGGTGTAATACCCCGATATTTTAAAAGGATTTAGTAATTAAAATTTGTATTATATTATTATTATTATTAATTTTTTTTTAAAATGATTTATTTTATTTAATTAAGTGCATAGATTAATTGTATTGTTTTAATTAAATTATATGTTGTAATTTTATTTGTTAAATTTATATGGTGTTGGATTTGTGGAATGCTAGTTAGTAAGTTGTTTATTTGATTTGTGATTAATTAAATTTGTATGAATTATTTGTATTTAATAGGTTTAAATTTAATTATTTTATTTATTTAAGTTAATTGGTTTGGACTTAAAAGGAGTGGGGCCAATGGATGGGGTCTTGGGCATGAATAAAGCCTTGTTGAGTTAATTAATAAAGGCCCATGATTATAAAGGAATTTAAAGGATTTATCTTTCTATAATTATATATATATATATATATCCTACCATAATAATTATTGATTAATTATATTTATCCACATATAATTATACTACCATAATAATTATTGATTAATTATATTTATCCACATATAATTATATATATATATATATATATATATATATATATATAGGTATAGATGATTATTTAACTAATGATTTATGGAAGGAATGTATATATACTATATAATATATATGTGTATATATATTTAATATTTAAAATTATTATTATTATTATTTTTAGTAAGTCACAATTGGAAAGGGAATTGGATTTTTAATGTGCATAAATATATGTATAAGACTTTAGGGTTAGGAGTTTTTCTACGTTAGAAAAATAAGAGAGTTAGAGAGGGAAGAAAAAGGGCTAACGAAGAGGAGGCCGGATCAAAGAACGTAAGAGGGGACCGGATTTGGAAAACAAAAGGCAAGTTCTTCTCTATTTCTCCTCTTGAAATTCATAAACCTATCACCTTGAATATGAATTATATTTTTTTTTGATTGATTAAAAACAAGCTATTAATCGAATTTAATGAACATGTTTTCTTTGCAAAGCGATAGATTTAAACATGAGAATAACAATATGAATGATAAAAAAATAAGTTAGTTCAATATATAAGAGGTTATATTAATTAGGTTTTTTATTTTCTGTAATTATTAGGGTTTGTTTTGAGTTAGTTTAGCATGATTAATTAAATTTAATGAATTTTAATTTAATTATATTTGTTCATTTATGCCTAAAATAATAAATAAAGCTTTTGGAATTTTCTGAGATTTTCTGGAAATTTTCTTGAATTAATTTATATTTTTAATGTTATTTTAGAAATTATTTATATATACTGTTATATATAAAAATATGTTAAATTGTTTAACATATTACACACTGGAGGCGGTAGTTGGTTGGGCATCAATAGGATTTTGATCCAGTGTGGTCGCGTGCGTAGGAAAAGGGTGCACTCGTTGATCTAGGCCATATGATTAATTTAAATTAGTTGGATTGATCTGGTGTGATGCGGCATATCATAAGTTATTACACATGCGGCATCTAATGGTTAGATTTAATTCAGGAAGGAGAGATGATTCAGTGCATCACGGTTCATGGGATTAAGATACGCATGCACATCAGGTCTGTTGACTTGGTCTAGTCAACAGAATAGTGATTCTATGCATCGTGGCACACAAGAACATGAGGGGCAGCCAATCAGAAGCAGCCACACACGCGCCGAGAGTGTAGCAGGCGCGTGAGGGCGCGTGGACCCGCTTGCCAGTTAATGATGGCGCGTGGAAGCACGTGAAGTGAGTCTGGGGGCGTGGGGCAGCGCGTGGGAGCGCGTGCAGAGGTGTTTGAGGACTAGGAAATCTTCTGTGGGGTCCAGTACTTTAACGGAATTAGTTTTAAGTTCTTAGGGTTGAAAGCAACCGTTAAAGGATGAGTTCGTGGTATTATGAGAGTCATAGAGTGTCATGATGGTATTTAATGTGTGTGCATCTACTTAATTTATAGTTGGGGGTGGAAGGAATTGTATATATATATTTGTTATATATATATGTAATGTATGATTTAATTAATACATAATTATGATGGAAGGAGGTATATATATATATATATATATATATATATATATATATATATATATATATATTACTTGCGAGTATCTGGATTTACTGATTATTAAATTAATGTTATGCGTGTAATATGCATAAGATGTTTACGTAGGGATTAATTGATAGTTACATTTAAAGATAGTACATGGTTGAATTGTAGGCATGGATGAGTTGCCAAAGGCTTAAATATACTGCCTCATTAGATATGAATAAATTTCATATATGGGAAGTATGGTTGAGTTTCTAGTTAACTGTATAAGTAAACATACTTAAGGAAGTATGGTTGAATTGCTAGTATATAAATAATGATATTTATAGATGGCATGGTTGATTTGCTAGTGCATAATTAAATTGCTGTGTGTTTAGATGATTAAAATTTCCCCTAAGGTCATTGTATGTATAGGTTGGATTATAATTAGCATAATCAAGTACGTACAAGTTAGTGCATTATTTTATATTAATATTGGCAAAGAGACGGATGATTTGTCAAAGCTTAAATTTTGGATGTAGTTTAAACAATCAACAGTGTTATTAGGTTTTGGATTTATTGGATTGTTCTTTAATTGGTAATTTATTACTTTCATGATTAAACTACTGTTTAGAATAGAATTAAAGTGAGTGGTGTTTATTTTGTTTTTATGAACATTATGAGGAATTGTTCTAGATATGATTAATAATTAATCATTGATGAATGGTTTTGATAATTCAATGAACTTATTAACATATAGGTTTATTATAATATATATATAAGTGGTTATATTTATTTGTAACATCGTATATTAAAGTTAAAACCTTTATTAGGAATGGTTTTAGTAGAGATGATCTGTTTATTAGTTTTCAGAGGCTTGATAGAGAGAACTTGCTCGTAGGGTTTAACCCGCAATTTATTTTTCAGGTTATTAGAAGTTCAAGTCTAAAGGTTGAGGATCCGCAGCTGAAGGACTTATCCACTCTCTCGATTTATTTACAAGTAGGATATTATTATTATTTCATTGGAGATTAGTACTTAATAATGAACTTCTGGATAATGGATTTTATTTAAGGGGTTCTTAAGTTACAGGATTCCCGAGTTGTAACCATTTGAGAGTTATTGATGAATTTACTA